ACCGTCACATCTTCCTTTCCCTTACATATTGTTCAACGCTTTCACAAATATTCGCACATCCTTTACCTTGATAGCAACTCATAAACCCAGCAATGCTATATCAAAGTCGTCGCCCTTTTTGAAAAAAGAACAGTCTTCTATGTATATCTATGTCTTCATAACTGATATTCCTGCTATGTGTCCATATAGTGTCCTGACTTAGCGCCCATATAAGACACATACAAATTACCCATCTCTAACTCTCATGGTACAATGACATTGTGGACGACTACCATGACATCTTTTTCAGGTCATTGGTCGAAGATTTGCTAAACACAACCTCGCACCAAGAATCTTTTACCATTTCTCGACGTGATTCTCATCGCCTTCATCCAGCTGCACCTAAGAGCGACAACACATACATGTAATATTGGTATGAGCATGAGTACAGTTCCTATTCGTTTTCTACCCTGTCTACATTAATTATACAAAGTGAATAGCACTTCCAATACTATCCACTGAAATTACCATAGAAAACGAATGTCGTGTCTTACCATAAAGAATCCCACTTCATTTTTCATGTATACGTTGCTAACCATACATTTGTTTGCATGTCTTGTCCTTGTCGTCATCAACAGATACTTTTTGAAGGCGCTTTATATCCATTGGCCACCATGCAACACATTCATGTCGAACCAATGAACCGTGCGTGCTCTGCCTTCTTCCCCCACATCGCGTCAACAACTTCAACCCTCCAACGCTAACGAATGTCGTCTTCTCTTACAAATTTTTTTTTGCATTCCTCTACCAACTTCTAGGTGACCCCCGATCCTTTGTTACCACACTTTTTTTATCCTGCCAAACCTGTCTTCTTCTTCTCTTACCTTGTCAATGTCATCAGAAGATGTTGTTCATTCACCTAGAATACTTACAGATCTACCATTCCACAACCATTGCCACATTTCTCCACAACCTTCCACCGTGACAATCCTCGATTCATCCTACATGCCATCAGAGAATGCCCTCAACACTTCACCGATGTCTCTCAGCCTGAACACAATTTCATCACGCAATGATGACACTGCCATCTCAACTCCACTTTGTCCTTATGACTTGTCACAAACCCTTATTGATGACTACTCTAACTACTCTAATCTTCTCATGTCTGTAATGCCTTTCGTGGTTGTCCTCGACTGCCTCCCATACACCCACGGCATAGCAGCCAAAGACTACCAATATGTTGCCCGCCAACTTCGTCAGTGTCTACATAACCACCCACTGTCCACACTTACATTTCCGTCCACGTGAACACCAACCTTTGGGCATTGGGCTGCATGAATGTCATTCGCTATCAAGTTCTATATTACGACAGTTTATACTTTGATGACAATGGATTCCTCCATACCCTACGTGACTGGCTCGATGAGCAAATTGGAATATTGGGAACATTCCTTAATGACCATACACCATTCTTAACAACCCTCTCCAAACTAATGACTTCGACTGTGGTATGTTCATGCTAATGATGATTTGTCACCTGTTGCTTCACAATTCCTTCCCTCATCACTCTGAGTTGTCGCAAACTGACAGTCCCTATTACAGCAATGTCATTCACAATGAGTTGATAACTCGCCACCTGCAGACCATTGTGCCACACCCATCTCACTACTTTCCCATTCGACCGGCTCTACTTTGCCAATGGCCCACGATTTGACTCCCTAGTCACCTTGATCAACATGTCATTTTGCTCGGGTTCTTTGTGCCTCTCTGCATCACGAACGTTGATGCTAAATAAGATATGTCTCCTCTTGTCTTCCTCAGGTAATTGCTCTATCATTCTGCCCTTCACCCCACATGCCTCACCAACCCTTTCTCTTCTGCATCCCCCCCCCTCTCTCTCTCTCTCTCTCTCTCTCTCTCTCTCTCTCTCTCTCTCTCTCTCTCTCTCTCATATACGTACACATAAACACGCATGTATACACTTATTTACATATACCCACCAACCTCGACTGCAAAATATAAGGTCTCGCTTGTCCATCTGTGTTGCTTGGTTTACCTGTTATTCTTCGATTTCACTTTCAACCCGTTATACTGTCAATGCTGTTTTTCTTTTCGTTGTACACGATGACAACAACCTACAAATTCACAATCTGAACAACAGATGACTATACAATCAGGCATTTGCCCAACTCTACAGCTGACATGGCAACAACGCAACCACATATTGCCAACAGCAGATGCGCCAAACAGATCAAAAGCATAACACTCACCCTGCCCAAGAGGCGAAGCACACAACAATGAAGAAAAAAGAGAGGACGACAGAGTATAAGAGCAAGTACGCATGCTACAAAGCAAAGGAAATTTGTGATTTACCAACTATTGTTGTATGTATGTCATGCATTTGTCTGATCTGTGTTTTTTTTTTTTTTCTTTCTCTCTTTCTCACTAGTTTGATGGTGATGTCTTCCTGCTTTGCTGTTCAGTTTAAAACCGCTTATCCGCACCTGATAATCCGCAAAGAACATGTACGTTATACCCGACGCTGTTTCCTTTCATTTCTGCAATTGCTGCAACAAACTACAAAATCCAAGGTGAAACACTTGCTTCACTGATCGTTGTAGATTGGAGAGCACATCCCACAATGACCAAATCCCGGATTGACGTTCCACAACAAGCATATATCACTGTCTCTAGAGCTATTAACCGCAATGCTTTTGTTACACTTACCTCTCTCACTCCTCAGTTAACTGCATTTTTCAAACCGCCTCATGATATCCTCTTGCAATATTCTCCCAAGATGAAAGTCTTACTAGCCTTTCAAATTCGTTGTTACATTCTCCCAAAATCCTTGCAATATTCCCTGATGCTCTGTCACCGGATCCTCTTGTTTTGCCATCCTTGACTTTTTCTTTTTCTCTTTTTTCTTTATCGTCGGATGATAACGTTCCGCTATCAACACAACAAAACGATTAACCCTTTGACCATTGCTCAATAGAACCTACAGAGCCTTCAATTTTTTTTAGCTTTCCCCCCTCTCCACAAAAATCGCCTACTCCATTTCGTTATCATCAAAATGAAAAGCCAAAACCAAAACGTAAAGATGACATACTAAAATCGCAGCTCCTAAAACTTCCTTCAAACCAATCCTTCGAAAAACTTGCAAAACCATATGATTGTTTAGATCTCCCCTCGTATCCATCACAGCTTCCTATAGAAACTACATGTCCACTTTCTTATATACATCAAATCGCTTCGCATGATGATGACCCCATACTCCCTATTTCCGTGGACTCCGAACTTTATCTTTATATAATCTTACATGGTCACACTTGGTTGTCACAATTTTCTATTGACGATTACGGTGACCTTTTGATGTTTAACATTCCTTCCATTGTTGTCATGAACTGTTGTACATACAACCACGACATAGCAACCAGGGATTACCAATATGTCGTCCGACAACTTCTTCGCCACCTCCACAAAGGGTCGCTTACAACATTGACTCATTTGTTCATTCCCGTCCACGTTCACAATAACCATTGGGCATTGGGATTCTTAGATTTTGTTTCCTGTAATGTTTTCTACTATGACAATTTTTTTTCTCATGACAATTGTTTTTTTCTGCACTCCGCCACCGGTTGGTCGAAAAATTTGATGTTCTTCGTACACTTGTAAACGCACCTTCCACGATTCTCAAATGTCCTATTCACACCAACGGGTTCGACTGCGGTTTTTTTATGCTTATCATGATTCGTCAGCTATTGCTTATCAATCCTCTCACTCATAAATCCGAATTCTCACCAGTAGACGTTCCATATTATAGAAATACAATTGACAATGAATTGGTCACCCGCCAGCTACAACCAATTCTGCCACACCCGTCTCTTTCTTTTCTCATTCCTCCTATCCTATTTTGCCAATGCCCCACGCTTCTACTTCTCGATCCTTGAAG